AGAGTGCTTGCCCAGCACACAGAAACTCCTGGGTTCAGTCTCAGCAAGTCGTAAACTATGCATGATGGATTTTGCCTATAATTCAGCACTTGGGAAGTAAAAACAGGAAGATCAAGGAATTCAAAATCATCCTCAGCTACATAGAGAGTTTGAGTCTAGCATGGGCTACATGATAATATGTCTCAATAATAACAAAACAGTGGATAAGGGTAGCAGTGGGTAAGCATTGTTTCCATTACTGAGACCTTGCTGTCCAGTCGAAAAGATGAATCATTCCCACTCCCCTTTCCTCTCTGTTCCCCAGAGGGTAATAGCAGCCTTCTTTCTTGTCTCGTCTTAGTCTGTTGTTTCATTTGAATTGCATATTTTGTCATTTACATGGATTTTTGATGAATTGTTGATCTTTTAGATTGGTTTGTGACTTTTTATTTGAACGTATTGCTGTATTTTAAAAAACAATAAAGCTAAATGTTATGACAGCACCAACACTGAGTCTGACATGTACCATTCACAGCTTCGCCGCATGCAGGAGATGATTGCAAGGATGCAAGCCCAGATGCAAATGCAGATGCAGGGCGGTGACAGTGACAGTGGGACACTCGGGCACCATGTGTGAGGTGTGTTTTCATGTTAGTAAGTTGGGGAGGTACGGTGATCTCTATCAGCCCAACCTTGAATATGATGAGCTCCTCTGTCTTACTTTTACCAATGTTCTTTGTTTTTCAGTCTGCCATTAGCTGTATCACTAGCCTTTCATTGGAAAGCAGAAGTCATTCTCTGCTGCCACCTACTGTCTACTAAAGACATTCCTATTTTCTAATGTTACAAAAAGTAAATGAGGGTCACCTTGCTGCAGACTTCTAGGCCTTTTAGGCAAACATTTATGTGACCATTGGAAATGGCCATATCACTTAGATTTGTGGTCTGGTGTAATTCTCTAAACTTTAAGTGTCATAGAACTTGACGGTTTCGGAGAGCTTCATAAATGGCATCTTGATGTAGTTAATAACATTTTGCTCAATTTAAGTAAGCCCTTTCATATGCAGAAGGAAGTATTGTCAATGATCAAAGCAATATATCACTCCCATTTAAGTTGTTTTGTCTTTACTTTCCAGAAAACGCTGTCGGATAAAAAGAAAAGTATTCCTCATAAGTGCTGCAACATCACATTTCTTAACACCCTTGGAAGTGTGCCATCCGAATTCAAGTCCGTGTCTGAGAATTTCAGTTGGTTGTTTTTTGCTTTTGATGGTTTTGATTTTTGGTTCTTTTCTCTTTTTTCCCCCCTTGTATGAAGTACTTTGAACATTTATATTTCATTGCTATGTTACACTTTATATTGTATGAGGTAAACCCTGATTTTCTTCTTCCTTAACCACTAATGTTAGAATTAACTTCTAAGAATCAGTCAACCTGTATACTGGTAATAGTGAATTTCTTTGATTGAGCTGGCCTGACCAGTCATTGACAAGTACTCTTGATTTATATCTAGACATTTTTGTTTGTTCAGAATGTTCCTGTGTGGTTGGACATGATGTGCCCGTGACAGAGGTGGTTGTGCATACTTGGTGGCAGAATATTTGCTTATTAGAATGAAGTCACACTGTTAACTTTATATTTGTGCAGAACACCTGAAACCACTTTTGCTGCTGTAGTTAATAAGGTTAATTCATCTGCACATTTATCTGTTAACCAGGCAGAACAGAGGAGGGTTATCTAATGAGATAATGTTTATACTTCAATGGCTTTTAAAAAGCAGGGTTTCAGGGTTGAATTTTAAGAGCTCTGGATTCTAATGCCAGATCCTTTTCAAGCCTCTGTAGAGAACTCACTACAAGGACTTTTTATACTGTGGATGCTGATTATGCTACGCTGTGGAGAAAACCAAAGCAGCTATGAGCTCCAGCTTCATATTGTAACAAGACTCTACACAGTAAGAGTCAGTAAGCTTTTTACTCAACTAAGGAGGCAATACTTTTTTAAAGAAACCAAAATGTTTATATTTTATACTGCACTTTAATGTACTTTGTATAACTAGGTGCAAAAGATCTGCCACGGCAGTGGAAATCAGTCCTTGGTGGGCATGGATCTGAACCCAGGCTTGTGATTGGGTGGTGCTCTTGCACAAACAGCTGCTTGAAGCCCAAATGCCTGCCAGGTTTTCCTCTAACTCTACCCTTTTTCAGTGATTTTCTACTGACAGGAAAATAACCATTTTTTAATTAGCAGGCTGTCTCGTCTGTTTTCAGCCACTGTCATTTTCCTCGGGTGGTAGAGTATAAAATGTCTTCATGGCAAGAGTGAAAGGCAGTTCAGATGAGCAAAGCCGTGCCTGGGGATAGTCTGGTACTCTGGCCTGCCTTCGCTTGCCGTTTCTCATGTCAGCTCATGGCCACAGAAAGGGCAAGTGAAGGAGACTGGTGTGGAGGTCGCAAAGCAGGTGCTGGTTCTGTGCTTTCATTTGGCTGCAGAAGAAAGTGCTTGGTTGATGATGAGGCGGGGATTTGTGTTTAATTCAGGCCAAAAATCAATAGTACTAGTAAGAATGAGACTTAAAAGTTGTTAGTTATAAATGACAGAAAATAATGTTTGCTCATTTTACCCCTTCACTGTTGCATCACTGTGATTGGCCAGGGGTTCACTGTGTAAAGTTCCTACCAAGAACAGTGTTGATGACTTTAGAGGACACCCATGCAATTCTTTGTTTGGGTTATTTTGACATTAATTTGATTGGAGAAAGGTGTTTTTTTAAGAAACAAAAGCATTTCCAAGTGTCTAGTGGGAGCCCTGTGTTTGTGAGTTAAGGTTGCCATTCAGGGCCAGCTGACATCTAAGACCTAAGCAATGTGAGCTGCAAGGTCTTGCAGCCACAATTCTAAATCCCCCTTCAGTTCTTCCACCCAAATCTGAACATACACTTTTGCTAATAAATACAGCTCTCTCACTAAAAAGTAACTTGTACCTATAGAAATGTATTTTGAAAACATTTTACACTTCAACTTTGTAGCCATTTAAACTAACCCTTTTTCAATAAAGCACTATTGTTTAGATATTAAATGAACAGTTTTCGTTTTATTTGTAAGGTGTGAGGTCCACTGGGAATATTAGGGGCCCCAATGACAATTGTATATTAGAACAGGAAGTTACTTGTATTAATAGCATGAGTACTGTGTGAGAAGGCCCAGATACTCCAGAAGAAATGGTACAGCGGGACAGAACTATGTAAAGGTTATCAAATTATCTACAGATTATTTGGTAAAAATGGACACTAAAACTTCATAGGTAAGTTTACTAAATAGAAAATGAAGAAACAACTATTAAACTTAGTGGGAAGTCAAAGTGATCCAAATGTATTTCCAATTAGCCATATAAGAGGTAAGTTTGGAAATCAGCTTTTTAAGTTTTTAAACAACTTCATTGGTTGAGAGTGAGACAGTCTCCCTTTGTAACCTGACAAGCCTGGAACTCCCTGTGTAGACTAGGCTGATCTCCAACTCAAAGAATCCACCTGCCTCCTCTGGAGTACTGAGATTGAAGTGTAAGCCACCATGCTCAGACTTTTACATTTTTATTTTATGTGTCTTGAGTATTTTGCCTACATGCATGTGTCTACCACGTCCATGCCCGGTGCCTGAGGAGGAGACTAAAGATGTCAGATTTCACTGGGACTGGAGTTGGAGACAGGTGTGAGCAGCCAGTACTCTTACCTGCTAAATGATCTCTGCAGTCGAGGAAAGCAGCTTTATTTATTTTAAAGTTTCTCAAGACAGGGTTTCTCTTTGTAACTGCTGTGCTGTCCTAGAACTCACTTTGTAGACCAGGCTGGCCTTGGAGATCTGCCTGCCTCTGCCTCCCAAGAGTTGGACCACCTGATGGAAAGCAACTTTAAAAATCAGAATTTGGACAGGTGAGATGGCTCAGTGGATTGAGTACTTGCCATCCAACCTGATAAAACCTGAGTTTGAGCCTGAAACAATGTGGGAGGAGACACAAAAGTAAATGTTCAAAAAATAACCAAAAGCTTTACCCTAATCTGTGGGGATCATCAACTTCGTCTTTGCCTGATGTCCATTTGGGCAGCCAGACCACTGGAATGACCGTCCCAGTACTATCTGGGCCCCTCATCCTCTTGCTTTCTGAGCAGCACACCAACCCCAGGGTAGGTCTCTAGGTACCAGGTTGCTCATGTCTAACCTCATTCCTGCTCTTATGATTGACAGCACACTCAGTGGCAGTGGCTAGTTAGAGGAAAATGCTAGGGTGGTGGATTAAGTTGGAAGGCCACCCTATGCCACTGAGCCCTAGGTTTCCTTGGAGAAGTAGTGGGCAGAAGCTTCTTCCACCTTGGTGCTGTGTACAAATTGTTCCTGAATGGTGGTTGAGAGGCCTGGCTTCCTGCAGGGCCATTAGTTAACCAATGGGAGAAGAAACCGAGGGTACTGCAAATCACAGGAGTTGGGGGGCCCCGGGCTCTGAGCGAAGCCCGACTCGGGGACCGCATCTCGAAAGCGACCTTCTAGGAACATCTGGTTCCCACAGACCACGGTTCCACTATTCCGGTCGGAGGCATGAATGACCAAGGGTATGAATGTTAGGACAGTTCCGTGAGCTGGGGGCAGTCCCAATCCCCACCCAGAACCGCCCCGCCTTACTTGTCAAAGCCAGGCTGGAGGCTGAGACCCACGCCTGTGCCCAAGTCCCGCCCAGGGCCCACGCGCGTTCAAAGTCCAGCCCAGGCCGCGTCCGAGACCGAACTTTCCCGACGTCCCTAAGTCCCACCCAGCACAGAGTTCTCCGGCCCCCAAGCCCCGCCCAGCGTGCTGGAGCTCGGTTCCACCCGCGGGGGAGCTGCACAGCCCGGCATTTGACATTAGGGCCCGCTCGCCCCGCCCTCCCCCGGCCGAGCGCCAATCAGGCCCGGGTGCTGCGCTCGCAGGCTCCGGTCCGGAGGACCCGCCCGCAGGCCAATCGGCGGTGCGTCCGCGGGGGGGCGGGGCTGCGGCGGGGGCGGGGCAGCAGCTAGCCGTCGGGATCGGGCGGCGCGGCGCGGCGCGGGCGCAGGACGTGGAGGAGGCCCGGCTGGCGGAGGCGCAGGCAGGCCGGTGTGGCACGGTGAGGACGCGGCGGCCGGCGCCGAGGCGGGGGCGGGGGCGGGGGCGAGCCGCGCAGGGCCGGTGGGGCGGGCTCGGGCTCCCCGCGTTGGCCGGACCTCAGCGGAACCTGAGCCCGAGCAGGCCCGAGGTCCACCAGGGACAGTCCACGCCCGCTCTGAGGCCTTCGGGAGGGCGCCAGCTCCTCACCGAGTCCGCGCTTGACAGCACACGTCTGTGGGCCCTGTCCGTGGACGGTGGAGGCAGGGGAGTCTTGGGGCGAGACTGGGTGTCCGCTCGTGGAAATGGGCGGGCTGGGGAGGGCCGAGGGCTGCAGGGTTGTGCTCGGAGCCTGGCTGTCAGCAGAGAACTGAGGGCAGGCAGGGACATCACACGTGGAGACCAGCTGTCGAGGAACGGGGTGTCTCTCGTGGACACTGCGTGCCCCGTGGAGGGTTAAGGGCCACCAGAGTACCCTCCCGAAGACCCCCCTCTCCCCCGGGCCAGTGCTCAACAGCAGGAGCCTCGGGAAGCCCCAGCAAGAGCCGCAAGTGAAAGCCCAGAAGGGCATTCATCGGCCACTCCCTGTTTTGTCTTCTCAGCCTTGCCTTCAGAAGTGAAACTCAGGTGTTAGTGCTCTAACTCTACCAGGATCTGGGAACAGGACTGGCCCATTGCGTTTTCCCCACCCTGGATTATAAACGCCTTTGCCATTTACACACGTGGCAGTGATTTCCCAAGATATTTCATGTACCAGTAACGGTGGTGAAAAACAGAAATTAAAGCAAGGCATTCATGAAGGAAATAACGTCGATACGTAGTGTTCAGAAAGAATGGGGAGACTTAACATTCCAGGCAGAATTTTTACAGGGTGGCTTTTCTCGCTAGCTTTTTGTTTCCATGAGGCGTTTTTCGACTGGGCCACTGAAAACGTTTGGTAATTAGTGGGTTCCACTGAATGTGCGTTGGTCTTGTGGAGACGGCATTGTAGTCGGCACTACAGACACTCTCAGTGTGAGAAAGATGAAAGGTCGTTTGAAATAGGGAGGTGTGCTGGTAGGTAGGCTCTGTGTGTGTGTGTGTGTGTGTGTGTGTGTGTGTGTGTGTGTGTGTGTGTGTGTGTGTGTGAATTTCTGGATACAGCAAGTCATTTGTGAAGCACTTTTTGTCAGTTTTAAAGTCTTCAAAGGAGACATGGCCAAGTTGCACAGCCTTCTCACATCTGCACCCCCCACCCCCACCCCCGGTTTTTATTGACACCGTTTCCAGATCACCGCCCTCTTAGTCTTTTTCTGAGCGCCGAGAGTACAGTTGTAGTCCATTTTAAAGCACAGGAGGAAGTTAAACCGGTGGGTTTGGGGTGACATTCTGGGATTTGTGCAAACCCAGCCATTGCCCCTGCTTCTCTGATGACCTTGCTTTGCTACATTTTATGAATGCTAACAGTGAGTTAGGTCCTTTCCTACAAATTCCTTTACAAAGAGGAAGTCACCATGAGGTATACCCTCATTTATCCCTGCCTTGGGTTCCTCATCCATAAAGTAAGTTTAAAGTGGGGTTTATTGTGAGGACTGAGACTCAAGGTTTGAAAGCTGTTAAGTGCCTCTCATTAAGTACTTCATGGGCCCCTATCAAGTGAAAAACAGTAGCACAGGCTACCCCTGGGTGTTTGTCAGATGAGTTGGTAGAGAATTAGACAGTGGCGCCACAGTTATCCCGCTTGGAGGGAAGGCTATGAACTAGATTGCCTACGCAGAGATTAATCCACAGGTAATCCCCTGGGAAACCATTTGTGTCTATTTGTCAGTTTCCCCCTTTCCAAACACCCCTGCTTCTGAACACCAAATTATGCCTACCGTTTCATTGTATTTTTCTTTCCCCCATTTTCCTGTCTGATTCCCCGTTTCCCTTCAAGAGCTTCGTACATGCCACACAGTGCTAGGTGTGCAACCAGAGTACAGTGAAAAGTTGGGTTCCTTAGTCTGCTCTCCCAGGTCGGTATGTGTTAAGTCACTTGGCTCTAATATATATCTGTTGATGGGAGGGTTTGGCCTTATTGATGAAAACTGAAAAGTTGAGTGAGGATCTCATAGAACTTAGTATGTATGATAAATCCCAGTGTTATCATTTTCCTGGGAGTGTTTATGTTGCAGAGGATTGTGGCCTACTATTTTTGGAAAGCAACTACCAGTATTTGAAATCCCACTTTTAAAAAAATCAGATAAGCAAACATTGTATCAGTCGGGTGGTTAAGTAAGTACTCTTGGCCATTAAACATTCTTTGGCAAGCTCATTCCTGTTCCTTCTTGAAGCATAATTTGAACCGTTTTGATCTTGGGGAATATGCTTCACATATGCCTTTAACCTTAAAGGTGAAATTGTGTGCACACAAAAATTCAAGTGTAAAAACTATGCATGAGGTCATGGACAGAATCAGGAGGGCAGAGTGACTTAAGTGATTTTGTTTTAGACATAGGATTATGTTTCACTAACCATAAATACTAAGGTATTTTAGTTTATTGCTCCCTTAAGATAAAAAAAAAAAAAAACTGAGGACGGTTAGATGGCTGAATGGGTACAGGCGCTTGCCGCCAAGCCTGGTGGACCTGCATTGGAACCAGGTACACAAGCGTTAGAGGGAGAGAAACACTTTCCAAAAGCTGTGCTCTAACCTCTTTATGTGAACAGTGTTAAACATGCACACACAAACCCAAGTAAATGTAATTTTACAAAACAAAGGCAGGGCCAGTGGTGGTGGCACACCTTTAATCCCAGCACTCAGGAGGCAGAGGCAGGGGGATCTCTGTGAGTTCCAGGCCAGCCAGGGCTACACAAAGAAACCCTGTCTTGAAAACTAAACAAAAAAGGCGCTGTGATACAGTGAAGAGACCCGCTTTGCTTCATCACTGTCCCCAGCCCATCCTGATCACATCCCAAAATAGATTTGATGATGTCCCACCCAGCTTCAAAACCTGCTTCAGAATGGACTTCCAATCTAGTTGACCTGCTGGATCCCCGCCAGCCCAGTCCCAGGCAGCTTCCGTTGCTCTTCTCTGTTGTCTTGAACTGGCTGTACCGTGCCTTTACCCTAACCCTGTTCACACGCAGGTGATGTGTTCACCCCACCTGAGGGAGACTGGGTCTGGCCACATAGACCTGGCTGTCCTGGAACTCACTATGTAGGTCAGGCTGGCCTCGAAGTCTGGCAATCTGCCTTCATCTGTCTCAGGAGTTCCGGGAGTGAAGGGAGTGCCACTCTGCTCCACCTGATCCCTTTTTTTTCCCATGTGAGACCCCCCCCCCAAGCCCCTGAGCCTGCAGGACCACAACTCTAGTGATTGTTTTTCCTCGCTGTGATTGCAGTGGACAAGTGTTCTTGAGCGCTTACTCGGTTGCTTTCCTTTCTTGATTAAACTTTTTGGGCACACTGTAGAATCAGGGTGGGGTCGAGGCCATCTGCGGAGGTGAGTGAGGAACTGCCAAGTCATTCCCCTCGATTAGCCCAAGTTCATTAAGCTATAGTGAAAACACTGCCACCTGTTACAGTGGCAGGTGTCAAGCAACGGGCTTGATGTGGGCCTCCTGGCAGTGGTGGCCATTTGGACGTAGTAGCTACTGTCATGTGTTTGAGGATTGATAAGCCTTTTTGATTAGACTTTCCCTCCAAGCCAACTGCTCCCCACCTGCCAGATTCCCTTCCGTGTGCTCATTTTATATAGCATACTTACCACCATCTAACATTCCACTGCATTGTAGGGATTTTTCTCCCGTAGCATCCGTAAGCATTTAGAGTTTCTATACTATCAGAATAAGTGATCAATAAGTGTTTGAAATACAAAATGATAATAAATCAATAATACAGTACAGTAATGAAGTTTCATGTGAGAGCAGAGTCTGATGCTAGGTTTTGTGGAACCTGAAGCATGTATAATTAGAAAGGGACAGTCAGTTCATATCAGCCTATAATTCCATCTCCAAAAGGACCAGACACCTTTGGTCTCTGTGGGCACCTTCACTCAAAATAGGCCAGTGTTGAAATGTTTTACTTTTGTTTTTTGAGACAAGGTTTCTCTGGGTAGCCCTGGCTGTCCTGGAACTCACTCTGTAGCCCGAGCTCTAGGATCCACCTTTCTCTGCCTCCCAAGTGTGAGATTAAAGACATGCAACACCATGCCCACTTAAAAGTATTTTTAATTGAACTGTTTTAGAAAAGCAAAACAGGAGCAACTCTGACCCTCAACAAGAGACAGTATTCTTGCCTCCTGTGGAAGGTCGGCAGGGATCAGAAAAAAAAGTGAAGCAGGCCATTCCAGGTGTCTGTAATAGCCACCCATTACTGTAGACAGCTGGGAAGGAGAGTAAAAATCAGTCCTTTACCCTCTCCCAGTGAGAACCATCACAAACATGTTTGGGGTTGTTTTTAGGGGAGGATGGGTTTATTTTGGCTCCTGGTTTAAAATGTGATAACAAAGCTAAGTTTCTGGGTGTGCACACTCCATCCCAGCCCTCCCACTTGTTAGCTAGAACTTCTGGATGTGTGCACGATGCAGCTGTGGAGGGTCCTGGCAAGCGAAGGTAGTGTAGTGGGGATGAAGGCCAGGATTTGCAGAACCACTACACCAACAGAGAGCTTCTTGTTTTCCCTCCACTACTCTGGCCTGCTGCTGTCACAGTGTCCAGAGCCTAGAGGTGAGCTTCCGGTAGTGATATGGGGAGCTCTCTAGTTTGGCTCCAGAGGAGAGTGGGGAAAGTCCACCATTTTTCCTCTTAGCCATTGTCTTTTTTACCCTCTCTTCCCTCTTGGAGCTCCATCAAAGACAAAGTACAATTTGTGGGTAAACAGGGCTACTAAAGACCCAGATTTCTGACTAAAGGACCGAAAAGAGAGCCTTATGAACAGGAAAGTATACCAGAGAGGTCAGAGACAAAAAGTTTGAGGAAGTTGCTCCTGAAGGGTTTATGGACGTAGGGGGTCAACACTGAGCATATGTGTGGGTCCTGAACTGAGAACCAGGGTCCAGA